CTTTCTGTGATTAAATATTCATGCACAAACACAAATGCACACAGGCAAGGCAATAAGAGGTGCCAAAAATAACAGCAGCATCTCTGTCCTGTGGAGCTTGTAGAAGCACAAGTAAAGAATGAACACAGATCAGAATTGCAGATCAAACATAATGTGAGCTGAGAATGCACTCATTGCAATGTGTTTCCTAACAACAGTGAATTCTCAGGAATATCTAAAGTCATTGTCATCCCACAATATCCACAGAACAAATGAAATAAAGCTCTTTGTGCTCAAGATCTTACAGGACAGGCTGCATGATGACATAGGGAACACACATCGAGGGATGCCAGTGGTGGCATTGCATGCAGATGGGGAATACCATTTTGTCCCTGGTGAGACTGGAGGGACCAATGTATAATATAAAGTGTGGTGTGGTTCGTGACACATTTTAAGCACTCAGTAAATATTTATTACATAAATGGATGACCCGCAAAGATGCTAAGCAGACCAAAATCTCCTCCCACCATGGAGTTAATCTGTAATAAATCAAGATGTTTACCTGAGAAGATAATCTACAGAGAGGCAGAGGGATCAACGGCGGTGCCAAATAACTAACACTGAGGATGCTAAAGATACTTCCATTAATAATTTAGTTTCTGTTGCAAAAAGTAAGTTCAGGAATTGTTCTGGAATATTTCCTTATAGTTTGGTAAACATATCATGCCTTTTGGAGTCAGACCCACTTAGCTCTGCAATGTATTAAGTTATTCATTATATACAAATCACTTCATCTATCTTATTGTTACTTTTCTGTAAAATAGGGTAATAGCACTTACTTCATTAATTTGTTGAACTAAATAAATAATACTAAATAAATAATAATACACATGAAATTGCCTAACTTGTTACCTGACATATAGTCATTTTTCAAATGCTAGTTTCTTCCCTACTTGGCTTATATAACATCTGCCCTGTGTCAGGAACTGAAATAGGATGTAGTGCTGAATAAAATATACACAACTCTTCCCTTGCTGAGCTTGTAGCCTAGTTGGGGAGACAACCATTAACCAAATTATTATGATAGAAACTCTTGAAAATGCTGTGAAAGAAGAATGCAAAGAGGGATAGATTTTTGAGTGAGATGACTTAATCAGTGTTGGGAAAGAAGGTGAGGCCGGAGGAGGTTTCTCTTTGAGGAAACCAGCTTAGGCTTGCAGTGCAAAGATCTAACAGAAGTTCCTTTGGCAGAAGTTGGGAAAGAGGGAGGAGAATCTTCCAGGATCTAGTATGATTTTGTAAAAGCCCAGAGTTGATGGGGCTTAGATTTCATTTATTTGAGAGAGAGAGAGACCCCAAGAGCGAGCATGAGTGGGGGGAGGGGCAGAGGGAAAGGGAGCGAGAATCTCAAGCAGACAACTCATCCAGTGCAAAGCCCAACATGAGGGCTTGACCCCATGACCCCAAGATCATGACCTGAGCCAAAACCAAGAGTCAGGCGCTCAACCAACTGAGCCACCCAGACGCTCCAAAAATCTTTTAAAATCTTGACTCAAAAGATTATAAATAACAATCAGATATTTCTCACACTGTGTTTTAGTTCTCCTTTCCAAGGTCTGTAAAAGAAATCACTCCTATTAGTGAGAAAGGTGAAGAGACACAGAGCTCCCCCTACAAAGGTGTTCCTTGGGCATGACCTAATCATACTTCCTAGGGGAGATAAGACTCCCTTCCTCATTTATAGCTGAGATTCTTGATAGGGATATCATTCAGCTACAAGTTTTCTTTTCTCAATTGTAACACAGAAAGAGGAGCTTCTTCTATCACATAACAGAAATATTACAAAGGCACACACATGCAAGATATATGTTTATTATTTCCCAGAATACCTCACGCTTTTGATTTTTTTTCCCCTTTTGTAGCAGATAGAAATTACCTTCTTGAATGGAACTGTTCAGGCCTCGTGAGTTCCTGCTCAGGATCACTAGCAGACTTTCTAGAAGTCCATCGTTTCCCACATTGTAACTTGGTAACAAGCCAAGAGTCTTGGCTTATGAGGTAGGAGTTTTCAAGTTTCTTGACACTATTTGTTCTATCATGTAATTAAGTTCTAAAACACTTGGAGTAAATGGAAAACTTTTAAGGCATTTTTTTAAACTGAAGAAAAGGGATTAATTATGTCATTTTAATCTCACGATATCATAATCATTTCTTTTTTAAAATGAAAGTTTTATTTTTTTATTTTTAAAAGATTTTATTTATCTATTTGAGAGTGAGAGAGCAAGAGAGAGCAGGAACAGTGGGGAGGGGGAGAAGGGAGAAGCAGACTCCCTGCTGGACAGGGAGATCAACATGGGGCTCGATCCCAGGACCCCAAGATCATGACCCGAGCCAAAGGCAGAGAGATGCTTAACCAACAGAGCCACCCAGGCACCCCATAGTTACTTCTCTCTTGATAGAAGCTTAATAACAGATGCTTGTTTTTTTAAGCTATAAGTGCAATTTTTTATTACAAGCCAAAGAGAAGAAATTGGATGACAGGAACTGACAAAAACACACCTGAGTCCTGGGCAACTTGAAGGAATGAACAAGTATCATCAAAATTTGTTATTTGAATAATTAAACATGAGATTGAAAAAGATGGCAAAAGAAACACAAAATCCAAACTACAACTGCAGAGGTGAATTAAATATAGGCCCAAGTAGCCATGAAGTAGCCTACCATGGAAAGAAAACACCTATGCATAAAAAGTGTTTCCCTACAGACAGGCAGTAGGCAGTGCTCCATAGAACTGTAGCTTCTCGAAACAAAAATTATGTTCCATAGTTATTAAGTGTTATATTTATGAGTTGTGGAAGATCACATGGGAAAAAATATCACCCTTTTCCTTTCAGAGTGTGACGCCTAAGGCTTCCATTTCCTCCTTGAACATGGCCTTGTGAACTGGACTGATATGCAGATCTACTAAACAACACCTTCCCTACTCAAGGTAGGTCTAGGAAAGGCACTGCCAGTTTTGGCTTCTGTGACTTATACCATGCTTCCATGACCTACCAAAATCCTCTTCTTTAACTGGTGCATTAGTTTTTGTTGTTGTTGTTATTGTTGTTGCATTAATGTCTTTAACGATTACAGTCCAGTCCTCTAAGCTTTCCTTATAATCAATTTTAATGTTTTTTTTCTTGATGATTATCTTTAAAAAGTTAATATAGGTCTATCCTGGATTCTATGAATGAAGATCTTACAACTAAGTACTGACATTTCCTTTTTATGCCTTTATCAGTGTTGTGTTTGTAACTGTGTTGGGTTCAATTTGTATTATTTTTAACTGTCATGAGCTAAGGAGAAATGGACAGGGATAGACTTAAGACAAAAAAAAAAAGTGCTTTGGAGGGCCAAGTAAAAGCCAAATGCCGTACGTTACTTATACTCATGAAGATTTCATAGTAATCTGAATAAAAAAGGAGGCAAGAAAATCGAATTGCTATGTGGTATACAGCAGTACAGACATGCTGAATTTCAAAGAATCTGTCCTGTAAGAGGAGTCAATGCATGTTGTAGGTTATAGTTTCAGCAAAAAGACTATTATACTAAGGTTGTTAATTTGAAGTTTTTTATATTTAATTTGTAAAATTAAAAAATAATTTATATGAATTTTAAATTACATATATGTATGTATACATATGGAGCTTTACTTAGGTCTATACATTAAATAACATTATAATAAAAGTAATTTAAAAGTAATTTTAAAGTCAGCACTGGGATCAGAGAATTTGTCCTTCACAAACTGTCACTATTTTATTCAATTTTGATAAAACTGTTTCACATCAAACCCTGCACTCATTGTTGGAATTATCCCATAGACAGGGCACTTGTAACTGTTTGTTTTACTATTGGACACTCTGATGACTAGAAAGTTTAATTTTTATTTTTTGCTGATACTACATTTTCTATAAGTTCCAACCATTGGTAGTAGTTATATTTAAGAACATATCAATTCTGTTCTCTTTTTTGTGGGAACTTTAAGTTATAGGAGGATAACTATTATGTTTTTTCCATAGTCTTGCTTTCACAAATATTTTTGAGAACTTACTTTGGCCAAAACATTGTGCATAAACCATGTTTTGCCTTTCCAGCTTAAACAGCTACACTCCTTCTAACCTTTCCCTGAAACATATTTTCCCCCTAATTACTGTAATTTATACAAACTCTAGCCATGTACTTGTCACAATGTGGCACCGAAAAATAAACATACAAAATGGAGAATTTTATTCAATTTCACCAACAATAAAGATAGGAATTATTCAACTCAACAATGTATTAAGCACTAATGGAGTCAGGTACAGAAGTAAATGGCACACTATTCTTGCCTTCCAAGAGTTTTGAATCTAGTTGAAAATAAAGATTACGAGTTTAGATAATATTAAATTATAAAAATAAGCATTGTAGGAGTTCAGATGATTCAGAAAACTGAGTTCTAGATCTTTACTGGATGTTTCTAGGTTCTAACTAGGGTTGTCTTGATAACTACATCGGGTCTGAATATTACCAGTGTAAACAAGTGCCAAATGCTTTGCCCAAAGTAGCATAAATATCGGTAGAGCCAAAATGGAACTCAGGTTTCTTGGTTCCTTGTCTAGTCCTTTCTCCACTCTTTACAGCACAAAGAGGAAATCTTTCCTTGAGATAGCAAATTAAATCTGCAATTTTCCGAAAGGCCACTGGAAATAAAACTTGGCAAAATTCTAATTCTTGTGATTGCTCTCTGTTTAGCTTGCAACCAATGAAGACTGAGTCGAATTTTCTTTTGATTTTTAGGAACAGCTCAAGCTCAAACGACAGCTTTACTTTAAAAAAAAAAAAAAAAATTCTCTTAAAGACAGGAAAAACACAGGAAGCCTGGAATGTAACCAGATAGGCTGTATTTCCGTAATCCTACCCTTAAGGAATATATTGGGCCCCTTTTGCACATGCGCAGAAGGAAAAGTTGGGCGGGGAGTTCCGCTGCGTCGGGTCGCGCTCCGGGCAGGGATTGGTGGCACCAAGCGTGAGAGGCGGAACCGGAAGCGCCTGTGCTGTGGGGCTCAGCCTGTTCTCTCCCGGTGACTTTCCAGCGTTTTTCTTCTAGCGGTTGGTGCCGCTTCTGCAGAGGGTGCCATGGGGGAAGCGGAGAAGTTTCACTACATCTACAGTTGTGACCTGGACATCAACGTGCAGCTTAAGATGTAAGAGAATCGGGACAGTGACTGGGATTGCTGGGGCTTAGGGACGCCGAGACAGGAGCCTGTGGGTTGGTGGAGAGAAGATGGTTATTAGCTTGAAGGCGGTCCTGGGGGCGGCTGGGAGGGCTGTAGCCAGCGAAGCGGAGGAGAACCGGAGCATAGAGAGGGGGGGCCTTGTGAAAGGATTGAGGACTAGGTCTCTGGGAGAAGGATAGCAGTAGGAATATGCCCTTAAAGTCCCACGGTGTTTTGCTTTCTTCAAAGCATTTTGCTGCTGAGAGCAACCTTTTGAAGGTTTTTGCATTTTACAGATTAAGAAGTCAAGTCGTAAAGTTGCCTTCCCGCCATTAATAGTTGGAAGATCTTTACTTTAGAACAGGCTGGCAGGTGGAATGGAGGCTACAGAAATGATGGAGAGCTGATCTGGTAGTTGAGAATAAGATGAGTATGTGGATACAGTATTAGAATCACGGGAGGTGATGGAGGCTTAGGTTGAATCTTGGGACAGTGTGGCGTTGTTTACCCAGGGAAGTTGGGAGTCAAAGATGAGGGTGTCAATTGGAAAGAGTCCAGAAGATAAGAGGAAAGGCCTTGCAGGAAGATCTTGGAGCATCACAGTTGAAGTAAAGGCCAAGAGCATGACATCTTGAGATGAGATTAATGGACTGGAGATTGGGGATGGGTAGGACTGAGTTGGAAATTATGTCCATTTTAAGGCAGTCTTATAGAAGTGTTTTCATATGTGAAAGCTATTACAAATTATGAATCATATCATCATTCATAATATGTTTAGTCAATATTCATCTAATGTGCCTCTGGCAAAGGGCTGGATATATGCAGTGAATACATTTTCTCAGTTGTCAGATGCAGCTTTGAAGGTTGTTCTTATTTTCAGAAGTTACTTACTTCAGACTCTGACAAATCTTTTACTATCCATTTTGTGGTGATAGTAAAAATGGTATTTCAACAACCAAACTATACTTTTGTAAAATAATTTACACACCTCAGAAAATTTCTACAGCATGTGGCACTAGATGCTTATATAGGACTGTATTACTGTCGTTTGGTAAAGGGCTGTCCTTCAGTTTCATTCCTCTCAGTATTTCTTGGACATATGAATGATTTTTTTTTGAAACTTTTGAATCTTAGAAGGAAAGAAGAAAAGTAAAAAACACTGGTCTGTCATTAACAGACACACACACACATTGGGTATTTTGAGGCAAAGTTAAAGCATAAATTAGAAGTTTGGCAAAATTCAGTACTAACCGTCTTTTAGCTTCTGAGACTGCCATTGTTGATCACTGGGGGCAGGAAGTATCAACTTAGAATCCTATAATGAGAGGGGCGCCTGGGTGGCTCAGATGGTTAAGCACCTGCCTTCAGCTCAGGTCATGATCTCCAGGTCCTGGGATTGAGCCCCATGTCGGGCTCCCAACTCAACTGGGAGTCTGCCTCTCCCTCTCCCTCCGCCTCTCCCCCTGCTTGTGCTTTCTCTGTCTCTCTCTCTGAAATGAATAAATAAAATCTTTAAAAAAAGAAAATCATATAATGAGAGAATAATGAATTCTTTAATTCAATTTATTCTCCCCAGGTTTTTAGTTTATTGTGACAGTTTTAATAACAAGTTGCACTTTGATGTCTCTTTTCTTACACCGTAACCAGATAACAAACTTCCCGCGAGACATGGTCACTTGGGATGTGCCAAAGCAACTTGTCTGAGACTGGCATGTCATTAGCCTACCCCTCTGATTCTGATCTTCCTGTATTGTGTCACTTATTTTGGTGATTGTTGGCATCATTCATCGAGTTGGTTAAGACAGGAAACTTTGAGTTCTGCACACACCCCTCTCTTACCTTCTTTGTTTAATCATTTACAAATCGTCTTAAATCCACCTTCATATCTTTGATCCATGCCCCCTTTTTTACCCCACAACCCTGGCCTTAGTCTACCTTTTTCCTTTTTAATGTGGACTGAAAGTCTTCTGCTTTTCAGTCCTTCCTCTCCATTATGTTTTATACTCCTGCCAAAAGTACAAATCTGATTACATTACTCTCACTTCAAATAATTTAACAAAGTTTTGAATGTTCACTTTGTGTTGGGCACTGTACTGAATATGGTGGCTACTAGCTTCATTTTCTACCTACTTTTCATTCTCATCTTTAGCTTCTTTACCGCATGAGCTTTATGCTTTAGCTATACCAAACAACTTGTCGTTTCCCAACACATACCTTCTTGCTTCTTTGCATCTGCATATAGTGTTCTTTTCATCTGAGACGACTCCCTACTGTTTTGGCTCTCATCGCCCATATATTGTTTGAGCTCATTTCATGCATCTGTCTCGGATACTAAGCTCTTGGCTCCCAAGCAAGTTTACGTGCTCCTGAGACATTTTGGTACGTCTTTCTGTAGTAGGAAGGAAGGACATTAGCTTTGGCTTCTTTCTTTATTTTTTTTTAAATTGATTTTATTTATTTATTTTAGAGAGAGAGCACAAGCAGGGGAAGGGGCAGAGGAAGAAGCGGGCTCCCCACTGAGCAGGGAGCCTGACGCGGGGCTTGATCCCAGGACCCTGAGATCATGACCTGAGCCGAAGGCAGACTTCTAACGGAGCCACCCAGGCACCCCACTTTGGCCTCTTTTGCCAGCTCTGTTACTTATTTTGTTATCTTGAATAATGATCACTGAGTGTCCGCTTCATTATTTATAAAATGAGAAAAGGGTGAAAAGTAAGAAAGAGTACATAAAATCCCTGGCACAATATTTGACATAATCTTGATGTCCAAGCAATGTTCCTACCTCTTTTTTAATGTCTTGTACATATCTTTTATGCCTTATAACATTGTATTTTAATTTAAAGAACTGATCAGATAATATATCTATACACTAGCAAAATTGAAAGAGTAATAGAAAACATTCAGTTAAAAGTAAGTGGAAGATTAAAAAAAAAGGTAAGTGGAAGCAAAGACAACATTTTCATGTAATGCTGTGTTGTTTATCTTATCTTTCATTTTTGGTCCTCTGTGCCTGGTACAGTGAATGTTTGTTGAATGAATACATGAATAAGTGCTCAGCTTGAAATTAGTAAAGGGAAACAAAGGCCTGGAGAGCTGGTGATGTCTAGAAGGTAGATCAAGAGTTGGTGACAGGATTTAAAATTAAATAAAAGCCTAAAATAGAGAAATATGTTGGTGAAGATTGGAAGGATCTTAGGAATGTTGGGACTATAAGAGACCTTTATTAGATGTAAAAGTGACTTTAATTTTATATACAAGAAAATGTTGAGGTAGCAGAAGGTTACTGTGATACAACCATAACCTGTTCTTAGTATTTGTTGTGTATATGCTTAAAAAAATATGTCTAAACATTATTGTTCTTATGCCTCCAGAGGAAGTTTGGAAGGGAAGAGAGAACAGAAGAGTTATAAAGCTGTTCTAGAAGACCCAATGTTGAAGTTTTCAGGACTGTACCAAGAGACATGCTCTGACCTTTATGTTACTTGTCAAGTTTTTGCAGAAGGGAAGCCTCTGGCCTTGCCTGTGAGAACATCCTACAAAGCATTTAGTACAAGATGGAAGTAAGTTGTTGTCTTGCATATGGTGGGTTCCAGACTATTCTCCCATTTCTTTATAGGTGTTGTAAGTATGATTTGGTAGGCATTACAGAGGAAATTTTTTAAAAAATTGTATTTAATACCTATAAGCATTGATCCAGTAGTTTGTTTATTTATTTATTTATTTATTTATTTATTTATTTATTTATTTAAGGTTTTATTTATTTATTTGACAGAGACACAGCTAGAGAGGGAACACAAACAAGGGGAGTGGGAGAGGGAGAAGCAGGCTCCCCGCGGAGCAGGGAGCCCAGTGCGGGCCTTGATCCCAGGACCCTGGGATCATGACCTGAGCCAAAGGCAGATGCTTAACAACAGCCACCCAGGCGCCCCGATCCAGTAGTTTAAAGCAGCGACCTACCCAGATGGGATAAAGTATTATATATAGTAGTATTCTAAATATTATTTAGGTAGAAGTGAATTTATGTTTGTATTCAGTATATTGACATATTTTTATAAGAACTTGACTGATTCACAAAATGACCCAAACCAAAAATACACGTGTAACATCTTTACATTTTCTACCACTCTATGCCCTGAACACGTGAACATTTCTGGATAGTCTGAAATGTTGTCCAGCCTGACATTTGGTGCTCAGATTTGATGAAATCTCTCAGACAACAGAAATATCTGTTGTCATCTGTTCTGATCAGATTTTTATTATTATTTTAAATATGAAACTAACTTTTTTTCTTAAAGTTCATGGTTTATTGAGCATGGTACATTAGCAAACTGTTGTTGGGATGCAAGGTAAATATAATGAACATGAAGTTCCTGTTTTTCCAGAACACTTCTGTGGGTTCTGACTTTAGAGTCTTGTCTCTTCTTTTTTAGATTTTATTTAGTTATTTGACAGAAAGAGAGACAGCGAGAGAGGAACACAAGCAGGGAGAGTGAGAGAGGGAGAAGCAGGCCTCCTGCTGAGCAGGGAGCCTGATGTGGGACTAGATCCCAGGAGCCCAGGGTCATGACCTGAGCTGAAGGCAGACGCTTAACGACTGAGCCACCCAGGCGCCCAGTCTTGTCTCTTCTTATTTGATAGATTATGTGGCACAGTTTTGTTGTTCCTTCAGTGACTGTTATTCAGCACCCTGGGAGGCTCAATGCAGGATACACGGGTTGTGCGCCTCTAAAGGGAAGAATTTATGCCCATAGTGTTAATGAAGACAAGGTGTGACCAATGGATTACCAGGTTTTGTATTTGAGTGTACAGCCCTGTGTTTACTAGGTGTGGTCTAGTAGGCTGGAAAGGATTTTTCAGAGAGCAGAATCCTGAGCCCTAGTGATCTGGCTACATTGAAACCAACTATTTTAATGGTGTAATTTCTTTAGTAGTCTTTTTGTGGATAGCTATAAACACATACAAACACACCCAAGTATGTATGTATGTGTGTGTATACATACATATATATATATATATATGTATGTATACACACACACACACACACACTTGTTATTTTGGAAAATTTCAAACCTGTAAATATAGAGAGAATAGTATAATGAACTTCCAAGGCCCCATCACCTACCTTCAGTAATTACTAACTCAAAGCCAATTGTGTTTCATCTATCCCCATAGTTATTTTGAAGCAGATTCCAAATATTATATCATTTTAACTGTATTTCTGCATATTTTTTAAAGAAAACTATAGTACCGTAGTAACATCTAAAACAATGGACCAGGATTCCTTAATTGTATCTGAATATTTTTTAGAAGTTTTTTTTTTGTTGTTTTTAAGATTTTATTTATTTGTCGGGGTGGGGGAAGAGTGAGTGTGCACAAACGGGGGGAGTGGCAGGCAGAGGGAGAAGAAGCAGACTCCCTGCTGAGCAGGGAGCCTGATGTGGGACTTGATCCCAGGACCCTGGGATCCTGACCTGAGCCGAAGGCAGACGCTTAACTACCTGAGCCACCCAGGCATCCCTGTATCGGGTTTTTTAAACTGGAATCAGGAAATCTGTACAAACCTGAAATTGTCTGCAGAATTTTGTATCTTGTGCATTTTTACAGGGACAGAACTCAAAGCTTTTGTTAGATTTTTTGAGGTCGTTTGTGACTTCAAAAAAGACTTAAAACTACAAATTTAGGTCTAGACAGTCAACATTTATGGTGAATTCCACCTTTCTTGTAAGGGAAATTGTATGTATAGTGGTTTTGTTCCATGCCTTGGCAATAAAGAAAATTAGAGAAAAAGCAAATCCCCAGTTACAGGGGGCGGGGGGTGCAGAGGGAAAAAGAGAAGCAGATTCCCTGCGAGCAGGGAGCCCAACTAGGGGTTCCGTCCCCGGACCCCGGGGTCCTGACCTGAGCCCAAGGCAGACACTTAACTGACTGAGCCCCCCAGGCGCCAGGTGGATTTAGTCTTAAGCTCAGTGAGAGTTGGGGGTGTGGGGAAGGGATGATTCACGGGGAGGAAGAGAACAAAGTGGTGTTCAGAATTCACAGCTTTTTGATCTCTGATCAAATCTTTCCATAATTTCTAGAATATCTAAGGTAGTTTTGAAACTATTTTATAGCTGCAGGTTCATTTTCTTCAAAAGAACTCTTCTGCAAAAGTCTGGTATAAAGCAAGTTAAAGTATAGTTACTTTGATTTAAAAAGGTGTGGGGGCCATGGTTTTGGATGGCAGAAGGTTTGAGGCAGATGATTGCTTGATCATAAGCATTGTCTTCTAGGCAAAGGACAGAATATAGAGGTAAGAATTTTCATAGTTCATTTTAGATACTGTTGCAGATTTTTCTAACTTTAGCCTGTGTTAATTGATCTCTGTTTTTTTCCCTTGTCACAAGATGAACTGGTTAGTATTTACCTTTTCAATTTGGCCCACTGTGTGGATAATAATTAAATAAATTTACTTACTTCTTCAAGCTTATCTGTAGTGGAGAATGTCTTTTTTGAGCATATGATTTATTTTTTTTTTAAGAACTTCATAGAAGAAAAGGATTTAATGTCTTTGATTCTCCTTTAAATTGGTAGTCATGTCTAATTTTCCTATAGGTCCTTGAATTTATATGATGGATATAAATGATTTGTCCTTTAAGTTTTTGAAAATTCTGTTCATTTTCTTACAATGCAGATATATTTGACCTAGACTGGGATATGACCCTTGGATAATAATTTTGAGTAAACAGAATAATTTTGAGTAAACAGAAACAGTTCTGTGTGTCTGCTGGGTATTTGTGTATTGTTTGCATAGTTTTCTTTTGGGATTTTAAAAGCCATCTGTTGTTTAAGGGAGTTGAAATTATCAAATAGATTCAGTGCAAAGTTTGAATGCAGAAGAAAATTTGCAGAGATGAATAGAGAATTTAAAAGAAGAGCTGTGCTGTCATGACTAAATTATTAAGAACAAAGATTCCTTAGTGAAGTGATATATACAAATATGCTTTAGAAGCATAAAAAAACGGATGGCTAAGCCTTATCAATATTAATGAAATGACTCGAAGAACAGAAAAATCTCATGTTAAAAATTGTCACATGTCTGTCCGAAGCAGTCTGATAACTTCTTCATGTTATGAAGGTAGTGGATAGTCTACTTTGACCTCTAAGGTTTTGGTTGTTGTTTTCTGCTTTGTTGAGGTACTGTTGTATATTATAGGACAATATTATCCATAGCAGCTCTTTGAATAATTCTGAGTTTTTTTCTCTTTATAATATAAAACTGTGTTCTGGAGAAAGCTTATAGATAATTACAGTTTGGTTCAAAACAAGTTTGGTTCTGAAAGGTTTGTGTTTTCCCAGATTTTTATTAGCCATTATTACATTCCTTGTGTCTTAGTGACACTGTATGAATTTCTTTTTTTTTTTTAAAGATTTTATTTATTTGAGTGAGAGAAAGAGAGAGAGAGAGCAAGAGCATGAGTGGGGCAGGGAGGGAGAGGCAGAGGGAGCAGGAGAAGCGCCTGACATGGGGCTCGATCTCAGGACTCTGGGATCATGACCTGAGCAGAAGGCAGACACTTAACCCACTGAGCCACCCATGCACCTCCTGAATTTCTTGATTAAAGAATTTACCAGTGTTAATTTTTGTAAGCTTGGTTTTTCAAAAATTTTTTTCATGAGTTCTGTATTTAAACTTGAAGTTGCCTACATCAAAATTAAGGTAAGTGCCACATTTTTTGTAGTATTAACCTAATCTTTTGGGACACTTTCTCTGGGGAGATCTTATATGGTTTGTTAATTTAAAAGGAAGTTTATATACACACACACACACATTTTATTTCCTTAGTATTATGTTTATGTTGACTTTATTCCCATAGCTGGAATGAATGGCTGAAACTTCCTGTAAAGTACCCTGACCTGCCCAGGAATGCCCAGGTGGCCCTCACAGTATGGGATGTGTATGGACCAGGGAAGGCAGTGCCTGTGGGAGGAACAACAGTTTCACTCTTTGGAAAATATGGGTAAGCATTTTTGTCTTCTCTGTAGGAGTGTTGGGAGAGCTTTTCTTTTTGGGAGAGCTTGAATAGTTTATACCCAGTCTGATTCTCTCTGTCGTAGGAAGTGAAAACCTATGTGGTACATATGATTCCTTCATTCTTGAGACTGAATTTGACACATATTTCCTATGGGATATGCAGATAGATTAATTAAGAAACCTGTTAGTGATTGGTAATGTGATTTCTATTTAAAAATAGTCATTAGAAACTAAAATCTTGCTAGAAAAAGCAAGATGGCCCTTTGATGTATACTGTAACTTCATTGTTAATAGAATTTTTTTTGCTTTCTCAAAATAGTGACAGGACAATAAGTGGGGTTTAAAAGCACACATTTGCTAATAATGATTATAATAGAAAGTTGTCAACTCAGTTTTTAAAAATTTACAGATAATAGAAGCTAATTGTAAAAAAACCAAAAGCATAATCCTGAAGGGTATTTTTTCTCTTTCCCAGAAGAATCTCTACTTTTAGAGAATTGGTGATATATATATATTTTTAATTTTATTTATTTATTTGAGAGAGAGCAAGAGCACAGGCAGCGGTAGTGGCAGAGGGAGAGGGAAGAGCAGACACCCCGCTGAGCAGGGAGCCCGATATGACCTGAGCCCAAGGCAGACACCCAACTGACTGAGCTGCCCAGGTACCCCGAGAATTGGTGATATTCTATTATTCTTTTCTGTGTTTATTAACTGGAATTTTCCACTAAAGAACATGGTCTTTCCTCAAGTATTGAGTTACTTTGGTATACAGTTCATGTAGGAAAGACAGGTGAATGTTCAATTTTTTTCCCCTTTACCAATTTTAAGAATGAGTTGTTGTCCTGGTAACTTGCATATTTGATGATTGGTTTTCTTTTTCTTTTTGTTTTTAAGTTTTGTCATGAACTTTTAGTCTTAAACATTTCTGGAATGTTTCAATTAATTGCTGTCTTTAGTCTTAATAATCCTCAAAAACTCCCATTTTTGGTCATAAGAGTCCCTTCAAGCTGATCCCATATTTTTTTTTTGACAGTACTCCAGTAGTCATTGGTAGCTTCTTTGCTTTCTGGTGGACAAGCTATTTCAGGCTCATTTGGCAATTTTCTACCCCGGAACTGGAATCTCTGAAAGAAGCCCTAATTCTTTTCAGTGCAAAATCTAGGTATTATCAAACTTTACTAGTTTTTGTCCATTTTAAAGTTGGAAAATTTTATCTCCTGAATTAATTTTCACATCATTAAATGTAAATGAAGATGATCATATTTTGATATGTTCATTTACTACTTGTGTATATGTTTCTGTCAATTGCTTTTTGATGTCCTTTGCCAATTTTTTTCAAAAATTGAAATGTAAATCATGTGCCATGAAATTCTGTTTTTTTTTTTTTGAGTTGTCATTTTTCTTATTAATGTATGGGGATCTTTGTAGATTAATGAAATTAGCCTTTTCCATGTTACATGTTACAAGTACTGTATTTCCTATTTGACTTGTTTTTGAGTTAGTATGTATTTCTTTGCTTGCCATTCATGCATCTTAAATTATGTTGAATTGATCAGCTTTTATTTTTATGGCCTGTGAATTTAATGTTTTAGAAAGTCCTTTTCTATTTTTTTTTAAAGATTTTTTTATTTATTTGACAGAGAGAGAGAGAGCATAAGCAGGGGAAGCGGGAGAGGGAGAGGCAGGCTCCGCGCTGAGCAGGGAGCCCAGTGTGGGGCTCGATCCAGAACCCTGGGATCATGACCTGAGCCGAAGGCAGACACTTAACTGACTGAGCCACCCAGGTGCCCCAGTCCTTTTCTGTTTTTAAAAAATATTTCTTCTTATGATTTTAGTCCTTTACACTTAAATATTTGATTCATCTAAAATCACTTCTGTGAGGGGCACCGTGTGGCACAGTCAATTAAGCATCCGACTCTTGGTTTTGGCTCAGGTCATGATCTTGGGGTCCTGAGATAGAGCCCTGAGTCGGGCTCCACACTCAGTGCAGAGTCTGCTTGAGATTCTCTCTCCCTCTGCCCCTCCCACTTGTGCTCTTGCTTGCACTCTCTCTCTCTCTCTCTCTCTCTCAAATAAATAAGTAAATCTTTAAAATTACTTTTGTGAAAGGAGTGATATATTGGGAATCAACTTTAAAAAAAAAACAACAAATGGTTAGTTATTTGTCTTAACACTATTAAATTTGCCATTGTTCTCAAATATTTTGAAATGGTACCCTTATATATTCAATTCATCATGTATATTTATTCATGAATAAAACCTAGATGTAATTTCATTTTGAATAGCTTGGTTGCTTAGTAATATGAAGGTATTTTAGTTTAATGTAACTATTAGATATTTATTACCGAAATACATGCAAGAACAAATTTAGACATAGTCTGACACATTAGATATAATTTGGGTAAAATAGAATGTTACAGTAGAATGGACATATTATTAAATCAGTATTGTTCCTTTTCCAGAGTGTTTTTTCCTTTTTCCTTTACTAGAGTGGGGTTTGCTTGCCACACAGAAGAAACATGGGCAACAGTTTATTACTCTTACTTTATAGTTAGTGGTTAAATGTTCTTGAGAACAGTTACCATATAGAGCTCTTGGTTTTTCCTCTTGGTCTCTTTATAAGTGGTTCGCCTTCTGGAATAATCAACTGGAGGTTCCCTCATAAAAGCACCTCTTTTAGTATACCTGTGCGTTTTAGATGACCTTAGGATATAGTGTCAGGAGACACTGACTAGACAGTAAGTGTGAGATGAAATTTCCACAGAAGTGGAATGAAATGAACTGCTTAAAGCCAAACAAACTCTTTCTCAGGATAACATTTGTGATAACATTTGTGATGTGGTTTGACTTGACTTTTGGCAAGGTTCTGAAAAGTACATGAAGTCAGTGGTAATCAACCTATGAGTAAGAAGCACCTGGTAAGCTCACTAGACAAGCATCTTCCTGTGTTCTCATTAAATTTGGTAAGAATGTGATGGGGCCCAAGATTCAGCATTTCTAGTAAGCACTGAGTGATTCTGCTGACCTATGGATCACAGCTTGCAAAACACTGCATTAACCTTTTCATAGTAATGGACTTGTCAGACATAGGCTTGCAGTTTTCAGAATTTCTTCCTTGACTTCATCCCATTGCTCGCTTTATTTGTATTTCTGTATGAATCCCAGTAAAAGACAACTTCCTTTACTTTCCATCCGAACCATGCTGGAAATGGGCCTAAAGATAAATCAGTAGTATTTGTTCTACTTTATGAAGTAGTTAAACCCCAGATATTTCCATGAAGGTAGTAGTAGCAATTAAGTGGGACTTAAATTCGCTTTTCCAATATTAAGTAAATTAAGACTTTGAATCTTGGAGAGTCATCTCTTTTCTCCTAACTGGACAGTAGGTTCTGGTGTCCTTCCATGTCCTGAACACCGGAGATGTCAGATGCATGTATAACATGTTGGAGAGCAGTACTGATTCTGTGACATTTCCTCGCTTAGAACAGGGTTTCTCAAATAGGAGTTGTTGACTTACTACTTTCAGAATTCCTGCCTTATCTCTGTACTAAGTATACTCTTATGTACTTGATTTTTTTTTATTATGTTATGTTAATCACCATACATTACATCATTAGTTTTTGATGTAGTGTTCCATGATTCATTGTTTGCGTATAACACCCAGTGCTCCATTCAATACGTGCCCTCTTTAATACCAGGCTAACCCATCCCCCCACCCCTCTCACCACTAGAACCCTCAGTTTGTTTCTCAGAGTCCATAGTCTCTCATGTACTTGATTTTTTATTTGAACCAGCTCACTTCTTTTTTTACCTTGAATTTAGTTTGAAGCAAAAGCTTAATATCCCTAATATACATGGAAAGCAAGTAATATTTGACATTGATGGGTAAGGATTAAATACAATAGAATAAATATGTTATTAGGTTTTGGAAACAAGGAAAAAAAACTGCAGTGGAATATAAATAATAGTAAATGTATTTGATTTGCAAAATACATAAACAATACCTACAGAGAAAGTCCTTCTTTAATTAGAATGGTTCTTTTTGTGCCTAGTCAGTTACTTAGCTCACTGTCACTTAATTGAAGGTAAAAGGTAAGGTTTTACATCAACATTTTCCTTGTTAATCAGTCCAACTCTTACATGGTTGTTCGTCATCAGTTAGCCAATTGATAACATCAGATTTTAGTAGAGGTTTCTGGATACTTTGAACAGTGGTGAAGGAATGCAGAAAAGCTGGATCACCTACTTCAGTTCCCTCTAGGCTGATGTTTATATTGACCCTCACCTGAGAAAAAAGAAGCATAAGACATTTTATGGAATTAAAATAACTCATTTTTTCTGTGTGTCCTGGGGACTTTTCTTGAGGTCATGAAGTGGGTTGCAGTGGCTACAAGCTCAGGCATCCCCTAGCACAGGACTGGACTTTGTGTGCAGCTTCTGGTACTGGTGCTCTGTGCAGCTGGTCAGGATGTTCCTGACGCTGTGGCAGGGTGCACATGTCCACTTGGACTGCTGGGTCACAGCTGCTTCTCTACAGGCTGCTCCAGATGTTCAGGGAGAGAAAACATCAGTCTTCTGGGTGTCCTCAGAAGGAAGCCTGTGCAGATTTTCTTCCACCGACCATTAAAAATCATGTCATGTGCCAGCACAGTTTTTGTGACTTAGGGAAATAGTGCTTTAGACTGTAGTTTCTTCAGATGTTTCTTTCTTTTTTTTTTTAAGATTTTTTATTTATTCATTTGAGACACAGAGAGAGAGAGAGAGAGAGAGAGCAAGAGGAAGAGCAGAGGCAGAGGGAGAGGGAGAAGCAGGCTCCCTGCTGAGCCAGGAACCTGATGTAGGACTCGATCCCAGGACCCTGGGATCGTGACCTGAGCCGAAGGCAGACGCTCCAACCATCTCAGCCACCCAGGTGCCCCCAGATGTTTCTTGAACAGTGACGTCACACCAGTTGTTCTTCACCTTTTCCCCTAAATAGTCCTGGTATGGACTTAGTAGCTTTTATTTATTTATTTATTTAAAAGATTTTATTTATTTATTTGGCAGAGAGGGAACACAAGCAGGGGGAGTGGGAGAGGGAGAAGCAAGCTTCCTGCCGAGCCGGGAGCCCGACATGGGGTTCGATCCCTGGACCCCGGGATCGTGACCTGAGCCCACGGCAGACGCCTAATGACTGAGCCACCCAGGCGCCCCTGGACTTAGTAGCTTTGAAAAAGTGGTCTTCAGAGTGTATAGTAGTTGTCATATAGTATTGGGAACCTTGTGACTACCAACTCTTGTATTTGCTAATGTCTCTTTGGTACACTTGAGTCCGTGTGAAGCAGTGCTTTTTGGAGTGTAGTGTAATTAATAATTGAAAGACTGATCTCCTAAGATACAGCTAGAATAACTAATTGTCTTCATTTTCAAAGTTTAGCTTGTGAGATTTCTAAGTAGCTAAAGAATGGATTGATCCGTAAGTTGAATTGGCAAAAAACCATGGGCAAGCTGCAGATTTGTCTTGCAGATGTTTTTCCAGATGTAAATTCGGAAGTCAGGGCGGTGACTGCTGTAGTGGCTTGGCCCTGGGAGTGGGAGCAGCAGCTGTTGCTGGGGCCCCTGCTGGAGTCTGAAGGAGATCCTGCTATGCTGTTTCTTTTGTCTTGCCTGTTTGGCTTAATTTCCCAAGTGGACACAATGCTCTGAACATCTTCTGGCTTGCCACCTGGAGGCCGTGTAACTCTGCAAAGCTTCCATTAGTGTCAAAAGAAAGTAATATGTTTACTTGATCATTTGAGTCACTTGGCATCACCCCTACCCCTCCACATCCCATATCCTTAAATCTTCTCTCCAGATCCATCCCAAGGCGCTTAAATCATTTAGTAAACTGACTTCCCACCAAATGTACTTATTTTTGATTTAGTTACATTCAGCCAGTCACAGTATTCACTGGGGGACACAGAGGTAGAGAGAAGAAAGGCAGGCCTTCTGCTTCTCCAGGTATATTTAAGGATATTCATCTAAAGTGGCATTATTGCTTCACCATACCCAATTTCCTAGAGACTAAGCGGGTCTACTTGATGTTGAATCTATACTGGAGTTGAAAGAAAGTGATCTTTATAAAAGGCTTGCATGTGTGCTTTTTTGTAATCTAACTTTTTTTTGATCTTTAATATGATAAATAAATATTGAGAATTTTGATTCTTTACAACCAGTCAGTGCATTTTTTTTTTGAAGATTTATTTATTTATTTATTTGACAGAGTGAGACGCAGCGAGAGAGGGGACACAAGCAGAGGGAGTGGGAGAGGGAGAAGCAGGCTTCTCGCTGAGCAGGGAGCCCGATATGGGGCTTGATCCCAGGACCCTGGGATCGTGACCTAAGCCAAAGGCAGACACTTAACAACTGAGCCACCCAGGCGCCCCCAGTCAGTGCATTTTTTATCGGGCCTCCAATGTAAGCTTTTGCAGATATGGTTGCTGGATAGTACCTGTTTATTGCCAACCTTAGAGACCTTATAGCAAGTGCGGTTATACCTTACCCTTATTGTGCTCATGAGCTTGTAACGATCACTTATCATTCCCATTCTAATTGTTTATGGCATTATTGCTTATATACAATACATAATCAGTGAAAATCCTCTTTGTTACCTTTGGAAAATCTGTGAAGAAATTTTCCATAACATGATTGTAATGGTTTAAAAATTTTATGTAAACATTTTACAAAAAAACAGTTAAAAATACCATATCGATATATCTACCATGTACCTTATTTGAAAAATTATTAAATGTGAGGGTGTGCAAAATGGACTTGCCTCCTCACCTGCACACACTTGTAGTCTTATTCTTATCATTGCAGTCAACAGCTTGCTCTTTGAGCTTTGGGAGGATGCTTTATGAATAGAATTTAAATTGTTTGAAAGGTCTTGTTTAAAAAAAAAAGGTCTTGTTTAAAAAAAGAACACAATAACAGAAGAACATCTCTAAACTCGCCATGAAAAACACTCAGACACTTAACAGTAGCATATTTAAAAAGTTGTGTAAAGCTCTTTTATTCTAGATCTTCTGGGTAGCTTTTTGGAGGAAATTTGACCATCAATAGTCATATAGTTTTTCACTTTAAAGCAGGATCTCCATGTTCAGACTGAATTTTGACTATACGTTAAATCTCTGATTTGTAGACATGGGAACTTTTTCTCATTTGAATCGGTAATTATATTCTGTTTTAGACATACTTCTTGTGCAAAAGAAGACAGGAGAAAAATCAGCCTGTATGTAGTGAAAGGATAATAGTAGCTAATATTTGACATTTACCTAACATTTAGTGCCAGTGCTATTTCAGGTACTTTTTACTTCTGCCCATCTGTTTAATTTTCCTAACAAGATACAGGTACTCTTTATAATCTTTATAGATGAGAAAACTGAGACACACAGGTAATTTACCCAAGGTCATGTAGGTAATAGATGATGGCATAGCTGGAATTCAGATCTCAGCATTTTGACTTACAGTCAGCTCTGCTGAATTGCCATTTAAAGTGGAGAGTAGTGTAATTATTTAAATTTTGGTTTTAGTTATTTTAAATGTGACATTCTTTCATTGGGTAGGAATTTGGTCTCTATTTTTTCTAAGATCTCCACTGAAGTAATGAAGTATGTGTGGTCCATCACTGAACTTCCTTTGTTTCTACTCTACCTTTAGAATTTCTGTAACAGTTCTATGTGGAGGAGCAAAGAATGGCATGTAAAAAAAGTGTTACATGGATTTTAGTTGCTTGGTTAATTGCTTTACAACGCACTGGAGGCTTCAAGCTTGGCAAGAGAGACATGCATTTTCCTGTGTGGAATTCTGTTTGGGAACCGAAATGTCCTATAATGAACTGCATTAATTTACTTCTACCCTGAACATTCTCTTTTCGCCTAGCATGTTTCGCCAAGGGATGCATGACTTGAAAGTCTGGCCTAATGTAGAAGCAGATGGATCAGAACCCACAAAAACTCCTGGCAGAACAAGCAGTACTCTTTCAGAAGATCAGATGAGCCGCCTTGCCAAGGTAAAAAAGAAACTATTGGAACAGGTGGAAAGCTCTGAGTGATGCCTGCTGTAGTAGAAATTGACATTATGAATTCTGTCAGATCATGTTTTAATTTAAATTTAATTTTTTAATAATAATTTTATTGGAATGATAATTCACATACTGTAAAATTCACTCTTGGAAAGTGTACAGTTCAGTGGTTTTTTAGTAAATTCACTAAAAGTTGAATTGTGTAGTCATGCCACTATTTAATTTTAGAACATTTTCATCAAAAATGTCATCATACACTGTACCTATTAGTGGTCAGTCCCCTTTCCCTCTGCTCTCCAGCCCCTGGCAACTATTAATCTACTTTCTATCTCTGTGGATGTTCCTATTCTGGACATTTTGTACAAATGGAATTATACAACATGTGGTCTTTTGTGTTTATAATTCTGTCAGATTTGAGAATGTAGAGCTTTTGGTGATATTTTCAAGACGACTGTCTACCTTTTTTGGTGACATAGTCTTAAAGATGCAAGTAATTACATGATAGACATTCTTATGTTGCTTGGAAGTAACAATGTAAGACCAGCTTATATTATTACCTGGTCTCAATTGCTTTCACACTTCCCCCACTTCTTTTTTTGTAATCAGACGCTGAATTGTTACCTTTTTATTTAAAAATTGTTTTAATGTAATGTTTTCATTTAGTAAAAAAAAACTAGGATCAATTCTGTGCTTAAATCACAATAGTATAACTTTTTTTTGTGACTATTTGTTCACAAAACACTGTGCCAGTACTGTGTAAAGATCCTTTTACAGTTCTTCTGAGAGACTCTTTTAATTCTTATATGTAAATTTCCTTTTCAGTCTTACTTGTATGGATGACTCTTTAATGTCTGGAGAAAGTTTTGATGCCAAGCATTTTATAGCTTGTTGCCTCAACCTACATATGGAAGAAATCTTAATTATAAAGAATAAGTACTTGCATTGCTTGGCTTTGTTCTTCAACATAAGATTTTTGTTGTTAAGTTCATTCTTCGTCTTTTAGTGTTGCTCTTTTATGGAAAAATGATATCATAGTTTCCTCATAAGCTTTCTAGCCAAATTACTGTTGTCATCTTCCCTTCCATAATTAAATAAATAAGTTTTAATTTTCAGTACAGCTACTCATTCTGAGATTTTGTTTACATTCTTACATGGGATGTAGGAAAGTTCTCAAGCTTTTCATGTGCTTACCTTCTCTCTAAGGGTTTATCTTAGTGATGAACTTTATGCTAATCTTTGTGACTTTTTTAAAAATTTTATTTATTTATTTGAGATCAAGAGTGAGAGCATAAGTGGTGGGGGAGTGGGAGAGGGAGAAGCAGACTCCCTGCTGAGCAGGGAGCTGGACGTGGGGCTCGATCCCCGGACTCCAGGATCATGACCTGAGCCGGAGGCAGACGTCCAACGACTGAGCCACCCAGGCGCCCCCTTTGTGACTTTTATAAACCTTGAATAGTTATAGAAATTTTATCAAATCAAATATCAAAAGCAGTTCATTAATAGCCATGGGTCACGACAGGTTAAATTTCAAATGCAGGAGGAATGTAGCATGTGTTGAAGAAGTAAAGCTCTTAAATATATATTTTTTGCAAATAGCAATGTGATTCATATTATGGATGAAATTCCAAATCTGAGGGGCAATAGGCAAAGTCAGGAAATACAAAGCTGTATGGTTGCACAGTTCATCTACTTTGGTTCTCTTTTAAACAGATTATTTATGCTTCTCTCCATATGTTTCTAATTTTTTTCCCCAATTCTTTTTGATGCAATATTCAAACATAGTTTTTATAACAACTACTGTGCCATTTTACAAACATCAGTATATGCAGCATTGAAATTTATTTGAACTGTACTTTTGGATTTTTAAGGTCGCATGATGTTATGCATTTCTCATTTTTATCTTTTGAATTTTATGGTAGCAAAAGAGATGTGACTTGATAGTGATCAACTTTTTTATGATTGAAACAATAACCCCTTAGAGTTTATGGGTTCATATTTATTCTTTTGGTTATTAGTGCACATTTGCAGCTCTAAAAATGATGTCTATGCATATGCAGAGCTAAATGAGGTGTTGGGAAGACGCTTTCTTAACATGTTTGTCAATTGGTAGGAATTGTCTGTAGTCTCAATTCTTTATACTGAAGAATATGGCAAGTTGGGTCCTAATTTTTTTTTTAAAGATTTTATTTATTTATTTGACAGAGAGAGATGCAGCGAGAGAGGCAACACAAGCAGGGGGAGTGGGAGAGGGAGAAGCAGGCTTCCAGCTGAGCAGGGAGCCCGACGCGGGGCTTGATCCCAGAACCCTGGGATCACGACCTGAGCCGAAGGCAAATGCTTAACAACTGAGCCACCCAGGCACCCCGGTCCTAATTTTTTAAGAGATATTAAAATTTATATGTTGTCTGTATTTCCCAGAGTAGTTAACTGTTTTCAGATAAGTCTTTATTCATTAGTTTATAAATCTTTAAAATGGGAATAAAAATTAATGAGAATGAGTATCTAACAGCCTTTTTGAGGCTAATTGGCGATGAACTCTTTTCAAAGTTCTTTGCTCCTAATAGAATTGTACTTTTTACTTCTGAGTGGAGACTTCAGAGCTTGCTGTGCTGTGACACCTTGCTTTAGTGTTACCTCATGTTCCCCACAGACTAAAGAGAAACCATTAAAACCAGTAATTACTTTCCTTACATGGAAAAATACATCATGTTTGTAGCATTGTTGAAGGAACTGTGCCCCCTCTGGAGTCAGCTCTTTCTCTTTCTTTCTTAGAGAAAAGAATGAATGTGCTTCATTCTTTTCTGTATGGCAGTTGATCATGCTGTTTGAGGTTTCAAAACCTGTTCTATCCCTGCTGCTGTAGAGGAAGAATGTGTTTTCAAAAGATGACGTCTTAGGTTTGGTGAAATTGGGAGCTTGGGCACTTGGAAGAACTTTTCAGTGGGAAGAGCACTGTAGTATGAGTCAGAGACTTGGCCATCCCACTGAATCACAGAAAATAATTTCTGAGCCTGTAAAGTCAGAAGTTTAGAATGGATGATTTCTGAGGTCCTGTGTAGCTATTCATATTCTGTTATTTTCCAAGTACTGAAATAGTGGGGCATTGGGGTGGCTTATTTGGTTAGGCCTCTGGCTCTTGATTTCCACTCAGGTCATGATCTGGGGGGTCCCGGGATTGAGCCCTGTGCCGGGCTCCGCACTCAGTGGGGAGTCTGCTTGAGGATTCTCTTTCTCCCTCTGTTCCTCCCCCTGCTCGTGTGTGCGCCCTCTCTCTTTTTCTCTCTCTCAAGTGAATAAATAAATCTTAAAAAAAGTTACTGAAATAGCAAATAATCAGGATTATTTATCTACCTGGATTTTATAGTTATCACCTCAGTAGAGCATAAATATGTAATCATCTATTTGCAGTTGTGAATGTGCTTGTTCATGTCATTCCTTTTTTTTCTGCGATCTCTATGCTTAGAGTAAAGTATTATTCAGGACCTGCCTAATGTGAATAATGTGGCTCTGGTCTTAGATTTGATTTTTGTTGTTGTTGTTTGATTAGTAACTGCTTCTTTAGTTCAGGTTTTCAGATTAGCTTCCTGAGTCTGTTTCCCTTGCCTTATACCAGAGCAAGTATACTTTGATACTTGCTATGTCTGAACTTAAAATTATACTTCCATATTTGTTTTGTTCTTAAAATTGTGCCACAGTAGCTCTCTTTTCCTCTCATTTTCCTTCCCCTCTCATTTTTCTGGTTCCACATTAAAAAGTTTGTTTAGTTAGACTGTCATTCTCTTCCTCAGAACACTTTGAAATTGTCTCTGGTACAATACATTTTTAAAAACTGGGAAAGAATGTGTATGCTTATGTTTCCATTTTTATACAGAAGGAACAGATTTTAGGTATAATATTCTTATTTCTCATACTACCATTTTAAGGAAGTAAATGAGAAGAGGCTGAAGTGGTTAGAACTGAATAGTTTATTTCTTGTACTTTGATTTTCCAGCCAGTGAATTTACTATGATTGTTTCTAACTGTTGAGAAGGCAGTTGGACTCAGAGTAGAAAGGTGTAGATAAATCTTAATAATAGCAAAGCATAGTTACCATGCATTGTACCCATGAGCCAAAATAAATAGCATAGTGACAGTTTTCAAACTGCCGTGTAAGAAAGTTTATTCAGTTACAGAAGTGCTTTAGTCTTGGCTGCCTAGGGATAATGGAACAAAAGGGCTGTGAAATGAAGAGGAACTCTTTAAATGGCTTGTGAGAGATGGCATTAGGTAATTATTAAGCAAAGAACCTCACACTCAAGCTGGACTAACCGTTCTTATTTGACTTATTGCTTGTTCAGCTATGAAAGTTGAATTGTAACTGCAGTATGAGTAACTGAAGTTTAAAAGCCTGATTTCTAGGTTGAATAATTTTAAAAGTCAAAGGCTTTCAGAGGGTTTTTAGTGGAATTAACCTCTCTGATGACTTTACATCATTTTGTGAACATGCCTAGTTTTCCTTTGAGGAAAGGAGTGTGAGAAAAGAAAACAGAATGGAACAGTCTTCAGTTTGGTTCTTGTTTTTTATAAGTTGGATTTCTTAGACTTCATAGGAAATAGGAAGAAATGAATGCATTAAAATATACTCACCCCTCCCCAGTTCTTCCTCACTATCTTTTTTTACCCAGCTCTAAATTTTCCTAATTAATACTTACAAATACTTAGAAATCTTTCTGTTTGAATTGATTTGTGAAAATAATCAAAGGCCAGACCTCTTGAGCGTTTACTTTCATTGTCCATGATCCAGCCTTTTAATGATTGTGGGCCTTACTTGAGCAAATTTGCCCATTGTTCCCATCTGCTCCGTTTGTCAGCTTGTCATATCATAAGAGTTTTATGACTAGGATGCATATCCACCTGGGGTTTTGGATGTGACTACCAAGCTTCAGTGTTTGATTTATATTTGAATCCATGTCTTTAGACATGAAAGGTTAGTGCAAAAGCATGCTTCT